GTGGTGTGGGGGATGGGGGGGCAGGGTGGAAAGCGATGCGGAGGAAGAGGAGGCTTGGCGTCATCGTGGCGCTCGTGGCAGCGGCGGCGGTCATGCGTTACGCGTAAAATTCCTCTTGCTTGTCCGGCTTCTGGTAGGTGACGGTGGCCTGCTTGGGCTCCTCCAGTGTGTAGCTGCCCTCGTCCTTCTTCTTCATGCGGTACACCAGCAGCATGACCAGGAAGGCGGCGAACAGGGCGCCCACCACGCCACCGACGATGACCGCTGAACAAACACATGAGACAGAGACGGGGGAGGTGGGCATTTCAGTCGGAAAGTAGCATGTGACTTTGGAAACACATTTGTATACCCTCGACTATAAAAAAAAAAAAAAAAAAGTAAAGAAAGAAAGAAATTGGGACATGTGGTGGGCAAAAGTACTGGGACAGGAAGTCAAAATGGTTCCTGTAAGTCCATCCATCCATTTTCGGATCCGCTTTATCCTCACGAGGGTCGCGGGGTGGCGGGTTCTGGAGCCTATCCCAGCCGTCTTCGGGCAGTAGGCGGGGGACACCCTGAACTGGTTGCCCGCCACTCACAGGGCACACACAAACGAACAACCATTCGCGCTCACATTCACACCTAGGGACAATTTAGAGTGTTCAGTCAGCCTGCCATGCATGTTTTTGGAATGTGGGAGGAAACCGGAGTACCCAGAGAAAACCCACGCAGGCCCGGGGAGAACATGCAAACTCCACACAGGAAGGCCGGAACCGGGTCGACGCGCTAACCACTCGCCCACCAGGCCGCCTTCTTCAAGTATGTTGGTCAATTTTCACTCATTGTCCCAATACTTTTGTCCATTAAAAAAACTGCGGTTGTGTGATGGCCACATGTTGCAATACTTCAATTCATTTTCACTTCTGTCACATTATTACTGTCCAATTTTGCTTCCTATCCCAAAGCTTTTGCCCATTTTTAATTTCTGTCTGAAAATTTTGGTACATCTGTCAGTTTGTTGCTACATCCTGACAGAATATTTTGGTCCATTCTCCCTTTGAGTCCCAATATTTTTTGTTAAATTTTGCTTCCTGTGTGCTCGACGATCGTAATTTGATTTTGTCTGCCCATTTTCACTTTCGGTCTGAAAATTTTGGTACATCTGTCCTAATATTTCAGTTTGTTGCTACTTCCTGACAGAATATTTTGGTCCATTCTCACTTCATGTCCCAATATTTTTTGATAAATTTTACTTCCTGTGTGCTCGACGATCGTAATTTGATTTTGTCGATTTTCACTGCGCGTTTCCCTTTGGGTCCCTGTAGGTGTGATAGCCACGCGTCCCAATACTCACTCCCTCAATATTTTTGTCCGTTTTGACTTTACGTCCCAATTGTTTTGTCCATTATATATTTTTTTTTATTATTTAGCTTCCAGTCTCAATATTTTTGTCTGTCCAAGAAGTGAACATTTGCAACAATATTTTTACAGATAGTGATGACTGACAAGAAGTATTGGGACATCAGGCCAACCCACTTACATCAAGTGTAAAAGAACAAAAATATTGGGTCAGGAAAGAAAAATGGAAGAAAACCGACAAGCTGCCGTCACAGCTACGGCTAGTGAAAAAGGACAAAAATGTGACACAGCTACAGCAGCTTCCACTCTTCTGGGAACACTTGACTGGATGTGAATATTCTAATATGTGCTCATATATGGCTGGGGGGGAACGATGTTAAATTAAGTCTCCCGCCCTCCTCCCGCAAAAAAAGAGAAAAAAAATGGAGAAAAGACTCTTGGTGTGGAACCTTTGCCTCTGCTCAGCACGTGGGTGGTGTTTGTTCCAAGATGGCACCAGCTGTGCCTTCAACTGTACTCGTCTTTTTTTTTTTTTTTCCGTTCCATTCTGGCCCATATATGCTTTGGCAGAGGTAAAATGCCGGCGTAAAACAAATAAATGAATGAATGAATAAATAAATGAATACAGATAATAGAAGATTTCTCAACGAGGGTGAACTGCTGTTCGTACTCATGTTTCAACCACAGGATAGCAGGACCGCTCTGCTTTGTATTAACAAACACATTGACACACACACACACACACGAACGCAAACATGCGCGCGCACAGACAAACACACAGTCTAGTCTAGCCTAAAGTCTGTTGCCTCCTGCTCTTTTACCAGTGACCAGGAAATCAGCAAAAACCACAGCCAGCAGTCCACCAATGAGAATGGCTGGAAGAGACAGAGAGGTCAGACCAGTTGGAAACTCCGTCGCTATCGAGCCCACAAAACCTTTTTTTGGGGAGATGAGTCAATGAACGACTCTGCTTGATGGAAACGGTGTAAATCGGTCGCAGGCGTTCAACAGGGAAGGGAGGTTACAAGGCCAAAAAGAGACAACACCGACCTATCAAGACTTCTTTCCTTTCCAGGATGTTTTTCTGCGGGAGCTGCGCGGCTGAGCTGCCGCCGTCCACCGTGTTGCCGACCAGATCCGGATCCTCCGGCGTCAGGGCGCGGCCAAGATCGCTGCGCTGGTCGTCGCGGATCTCGAAGTCGCCGCTGGGCCCCACGACGGCCACCTCGTTGTTGCCTTCCTCGGCACGTGCCTGGGAGACAGGAAGTGGACTTTAAGGGCCCGATAGCGTGGAGCGCAATTTTCCGCCAGGAACAACGAGGCCCTTTTTGGTTCTGATCAGCGGAAAGTTATTTACTACTTTTAAATCTTAAAACACAGATACAGCTGAGTCTGGAAATTATTAAAAGAGGCTGTTGGAATTCTGGAGTCCATTATTTGATGGAGTCTTCCAAATTCGTCCCAAAAAAAAAACCCCAACAATTCTCCAGAATGTGTCATCCGATTTTCAAAATTCGAACTGCATTTTGACAGATTTGGATTTTTTTTTGTTTTGTAAATCCTGTCACTTTGCGATTTGTTGGTGTTAGGAAGTACACAGAATCAAAATGGCCGACTTCCTGTTATCCGATATAAGCAATAAGTTCTTGAGACTGTTTCCAGGGTACGACAGAAGACATGTCCATCCATTTTTGCGTTGATCGGTCAAACTGACGAATTTTTTTCAAACATGGCCAAAAACGAACAGTAAGTCAGCTGTTTTGGTTTGAGGAGGACAAAATTCCAGGTTTTGTTCTTGTTAAGCAACTCTCCCAAACAAGTTTCAATTAGAAGCTTGTCTTCTAGACCAGTGTTTTTCAAACCTTTTGGAGCCATGGCACACTTCTTTCATTGAAAAAAATCTCACGGCACACCACTAGCTGAAAATATGAAAAAAACGCTTATTTTAACAATGAACGTGTTATATTGTTACTTTAACCGTTTTTAACATTAAAGAATGACGTTATAACAGCTTGAATTGGAATCAAATGAACACAAAGAAAAAAGTATTTTATAATCTTTGATAATTATTTCACTGTCGTCCTGGATTCATGCGGCAAATTCGCTTGTCTCGAGTGGTCGAAACACAAGGCAATTGGCTAGATGTTGCTGCTCCCTAGTGGTATGGGAGGGTACTACATGATTACTTTCTGGGCGATTCACAGGCATACAAATTGGATATTTTAATATGGACCGGCACTGGTCCATGGGTCATTTGGTACGGGGCCGCACTTAAAAAATAAATAACTTACCTTACTTCCGTTTTATTTATTTCGGTTTCCCGTATTTTGAAGGCACGTTTCAACATTGCCATAGCGACCAGAGTATTGCGGCCAGATAGGACGTTCCTCGTGTCATGATTCGGATTGATAATTATGTTTCAAAAACACCACAGTTTTCATGCACATCATATGATATTATTTTGTTGTATTTATCTTGTCACGCCTTAAAAGCCGGTCACTGAAAATATCGTCTGACATTAAACCGGTCCGGGGGGCAAAAAAGGTTGGGCACCGCCGTTCCAGACAGAAGAACAAAAAACGGCAAAGCATTTCAGCCTACGCGGTTTCACGGAGGTGAACCACAGTGTTCCTTTGCTCATCATTGTTGAGGATTCGCCGAGGAGAAAGGAAAAAAAAACAAAAAAACTAAGCACTCGGGCCCGCTGACGGCTGCTCGCAGCTTATTGTTGTTTGCCGCGATTCCAGATTGGAATGGCAAAATAAACGCCTTTGTTCTCTTAATTTAACTTTCTTGCAAAGGCAGTTGTGACAACAAAGACATTTTGCATTACACCCCCACACCCATACTGAATCTTATTAAAAAGGAGCAAAAAAAAAAAAGGAAAAACAATCATGTTTGGCTGCCTCTCAGAAGAGTCTGCATCGAGTTCTCTCTCACACCAAGATCTATTGTGCTCAAAGCGATTCAGAATGCGACCGGACACTGTTTTGTGGGGATGAAAGTCACTTTTTAAAACACTGCTGCCTGCTTGAGACCCTGAGTGGCAAACACACAAAGGTGCCACTGTGTGCGCTTATGCGCATGTGTGCACTTTTTGGCCACGACAACCGCGCACAGCTGCCGGATTTGAGTAATGACAGAGGCGCTTTACACATGAAACTATATCCTGAAATACATACAAGGATATATTTGAGGTCTTCCTTGAGCAGCCCATGCCTGAATGATCTCAACTTGCTCGGTTGTTCCAAGAAAAGTTGTACTTACTTATTCACTGTTCCTTGGACTTCTTTTTTTTTTTTTTTTTTTTTTTTATAGCTGCATCTGTTAAGATTCAACAAAGTCGAAAACTATTTGAGAAAGGTCACTTTTTTTACCGAACCGGGCTAAAAAGTGAAGGGTAAGCAGCACTTAGTGGTTTGAACTCCAAAGTTTAAAGATTGACAGTTACAAGACACAAATCTCTTTACGTTGTGACTAAATGCAAACTGCATCGGATTCCGACGAAAGCTGGTTTGACTTTCAGAGTGAGTAATTGTTTTCAGTAAAAAAAAAAAAAAAAAAAAAATCCTCCTTACTCTAAGATTTTGCTTTTAACTGGGATGATTTTTAAAAAGGGTGTCAAATACTCTCGTCACAAACATTTTACTAGAAAATGGATGTCCACAAATCAAGATTAATTATTAATCTGGATAATTTGAGGTGATATTATCATATATACACACAACAACAAAAATGGTTGGGATGCCCCCCCAACCTCCCAATTAAAAATATATGAGTAAATAATTCGCTTCATTTTGGATGGCAAGATCAAATCTTTTCACAAAAATATTGGAGGGAATTTTTTTTTGTTAAAAAAAAAAAGTCTATTAATCAAGACAAAATATCCATAGATAATTTGGGGTGACGTGATCAAATATTCATATTTAAAAATATTTGTCCATAAAAAAAGACACATATTGAATATGTTATCTATTGTAGTCTATTTTATTTTTTATTTTTTAATATGTACTAAAAAGTGTAGAAGAACATTAAATAATATGAATTGACAAAAATGCAAATCACGACATAAATCCCGAGGGGGAATGTAATGATTTTTCAAAAACTATAGACGGAAAGTTGCAAAAAAAAAAAAAAGAAAAACAGCCCAAAAAAAAAAAAACAACCTTGTGCTGATAAAAAGAAAAAAAAACAATGTTGCTGGAAGTGAATATGAAGCTTTGAAATGCTGGCAACCAATTTTTTTTTTTTTTTTTTTTGTTCTCACCGGCGTCGTCGTTGGCTGTGCTGGGCGTGTGCTTCTCTCCGTGGGGGCCCTCAGCGTGGTAGTCGCCACGGGGACCCTGGGCCTGAAGGGGAACCTGGTCTTGAGGGTGGTGGTGGGCGGGGTGGCGGTGGTGCGCTCCTCCGTGGCGAATAGGTCGTCCTCTGTGGTGGCGTCCACGTCCGAGATGGGGTGAAGCGACGTGGCTTCCGGCGACAGGTACACGTCCTCTTCTTCGGTGGGCAGTACGGTTGTCACCGCGGCGATGGGAGCTAAGGATTTGGGTGTGGCAGTGGTCTGGGCGGCAGCGGCAGCGGCAGCAGCGGCGGCTCTTATGCGCTCCAGCTCTCGCTCCCTCTCCCGCTCTCGTTGCCGTTCTCGTTCGCGTTCTCTTTCGCGCTCCCGTTCCCTCTCCCGCTCCCGTTCCCGCTGGCGCTCCAACTCTCGAACCCGCTCCCGCTCCCGTTCCCGCTCACGCTCCCTCTCCAGCTGCTTCTCCTTCTCCTTCTCCAACTCCAGTTCCCAGAAACAGCCGCTCTCGCCGTCTGTTTCTGTCGGCAAGAGGGTGGCAGCGGTGGTGATAGGGGCAGCGGCGACGCTGGTGGTGGCGACGGTGGTGGTGGCGGCGACGGTGGTGGTGGTGGTGGTGGTTGCTTTTGTCGCAGTGGCGGTGATGGCGACGGCGGGGTTGGGGTCGGCGCTGGGCTCGGCCGCGGGTGCGGCCGAGGGTGCGGGACTGGTGGCCTGGGTGGTGGACATAGGGATGGGATCTTCCGTGGTGAAGGACACGGACAGTGACGTCGGCCTCACGCTGATGTCGGGAACTGGAAAAAAGAGAGAGCGAGAGAGGGACATGCGGTATGAATCTAACTTTATTGAAAAGGAAACTGGGAAATTTGAGTATAACTTTACAGATGAAGTGTATTATTCAAATGGAACTTTATTGAGATGAAAAGCAGGACACACTAATGTAACTATTGAACAGAAGAGCAGGATGTTTGAATCTACTTTGTTTACAAGGAGATGGGGAAATTCAAATGGGTCTTTATTGAGAGGGAGAGCATATCATTTTGAATGTAACTTTATTGAGAGGGAGCGTGGGATATTCAAAGGTAACCGGTAATAAAAAAAAAATCTTTGAAGAAGCAACGCGGCATTTGAATAGAACTGCGTGCGAACAAACAAAACTTGACGGAAAAAGAGGAGCTGGACATTCAAATGACACTTTATGAACAAAAAGGTGGTGAAGAGGAGAGCCGGACATTTCACGGAAGTATTCAAAAGTAAAGTGGGCACTTTCAAGTGTTACTTTACTGAAAAGGAGAGCAGGACTTTTGAATGCAGCTTGATTGAGGACAAGCAAAATTGGTAGCATTTTTGAAACAACATCTTTTGCTTATTTTCTACTACAATTCCCCAACCCCCCTTGTTTTTGCCAGAACAATAGGAATTGAGATGAAATGAACAGGCAAGCTAATATCATTTTAGCCTGTCCACAGCGTTGTTATAATCCACTCTGACAGTTTCCCGCGATGACTGAGGCATGAAGTACAACTGCGGCAAAGCGACGAGGTAGAGTGCGGTGGAAAAAGGGGCTTTTGAGTATTAAACAAGTGCAGAGAGGAGATTAATTTTCCCGCCGTAGCTTTCATTACGTTTGAGCAGCGGCTGAAAGAGGAGCAAATTGAATGTGGGCTCACAAAGGCATGCGGGCAGGAGAGGATATTACAAAATGGACTCCGACAATGGAGCCCCTTGTCAAAAACCAAGACGAGACGCCGGACTGATCAGTATCATCACCGGTGGAGTTAACGCAATTTTCCGGCCGGCGGTTTCCACCGCCGCCCGTTCTCATTGCCGCCGCCAAAGGAGTTATGTTTTTAGTCGAGTGCGTTTCCATTTGTTGGCACCCGGACAAAACGCAAAAAAACGACTAAGCCGCTTAGGTGGAGGCATCTCGTATGAACTTTTTATTCATCATTGTGGAAACTCAAATTTCAAAGATGGTGGAACTCTTGGAACATAAACCCGGCAAACATCTTACAAGGCTGTCAGTTAAATGTCATTTTCAGGGCACTGTTCACATTGCAATTTGGATCAGATCTGGATTAAAACTCTCTGACATGCCATTTTTTGTTGTTGTTGTTTCGGTTTCATTTTTAAATTGGATTTTTGAAAATCTTGACTAAAACGTCGCTTGCGGTGTGCTCGTTTTGCACTTTGGCGCACACCCGCAGGATCGGAGTACAGTAGAAGTGAGCACAATTTACAGCTGAATTTAATGTTGCTAGTTTTATTCCTTTTCGTTGTTTAAACTAATCAATAAAATTCGAAGTATGCTCAGGGGTGCGGTTTTTTGTTATTGTTTGTTTTTTGGAAGAGGCGCAGTTTCCAATTTTTTTTTTTTTTTCATTTATTGTGCTGTAGCATTCGACAGCAAATCTACACGAGTCAACAGGACCAACTCACTTAATTTTATTACCTGATGGCTCTAAAACATCACAAAACTAAAACTAGCTACGTTCAAGTTAGTTTACGGTAAGCGTCCCGTGCTAGTGAGCGCAGATCAGAACATCAGGCCCAATTCCAGCAATGCGCTTTAGACTAAGCGGCTAATTCCTACGCACGCCAGACAAATGCCAACATGCACTGTGCCAGATAGGTGCGGGATGGTCTAATCTGTGTGGACTTTAATCTGATTAGAGCAAATAAGATCTCGGGGAGGGTGGTCATGTTTGCCTGGGTGTTTCCAGGTTTGCTGTAATTGGTCGTTGAAACCGCTTTGTGTGGCGCGTTGGGACAGAGTGTGTTTGGATGCTGTTGCACGGGGGGGGGATGGTCTTGAGGGTCAGCAGATTGAAAGGCTGCAGCTGGCGGTGGAAACACACAAACACACACGCGCACACACACTTACATCCAGAGCCGGATCCCGAGTAGAGGTCCTCGTCATCGTAGAACTCGTCCGCCGTCGAGCCTTCGTCATCGACGGGCAACCACGTCTGTCCCTGCTGGAGAGAAAAAAAAACAAGAGAATGTGATTGGATGTTTGCCGCTTTACTTGACAGGACGAAGCCTTCTCGACAGGGTGAAAGATGGCGGCCGGGGTAACATCTGGCTTTGCGGAGAAGCCCGCTTAATGAAACCCTCCAACGGCAGGACATCAAAGCCGCAGAGAGCGGCAGTACGTCGGTGCCAGAGGCCGTTAATGTTTCAACTCAAATGCTAATTTTTCAACCTGCTTGAGGCTTTTTTTCTTTCAATAAACTCAAAGACAAACAGAAAAAAGGATCACGGAAAACTGATGTTGATGTGATCTCAGGGGATGACCGCAGGGCAGGCTAAGGGAGCGCTAATAGCTCACCGTTCACGAATGTACATATCAATGGGCGAAACATTTGGAGGAAAAACACGCCTCTAAGTTTGAACAAAACTCGGCCCCGTCGTCCAAAGTTTCATTTGGCTAACATTGAAGGATTTACTTCAGCTTTTTGTGACAATATTTAGATTCGAGCTAGCACAGCTATTGAGTAGAAGATAAAGACGAGGCACAGAAATGTTGGAACATGTTGGACAAAGAAAATGAACATTGTAGGTATTGTACAAACTATGTGGCGGTGGTGGAAAATGCTTGTCTCGATTGCGACGAAAGATGACGCAGTTCATGGAGCGAATGGTGAATGCCGTGCGTAAGAATGGCACTGGCGTTCAAACCCGACGTCAGAACTGTGAGGCAGATGTGCTAACCACTAGCTCACCGTACTACCTGTGAAGCTGGGTTAAATTATTGTATTTTTTTCCCCATGATGCACTGTGGTCACTTAAAATGGCCTATTTACGCACAAACTTTCCTGGCGGTTTATCCGCTAATTAGCTGTGGAAAAAAAGGAGAAAAAAACAGGCTCTGCGTTTTGCTGGAAGTGCTGGAAAACTCAATCGTATGTGACCAAAGTGTACTTTATATCTCCCTGGCAAATCTAAATCTCTTCCTGGGGGGGCTCGTCGGCAGTGGTGATGGTTGGGGGAGTGGGGGGGCGCCCAGCTAGCTTTTGTGATGCTAATTGTGCAAACATATGAGAGGAGAAGAAGCTCCTCCCCACCCGCCGGTTCCAGACGCAGGAAACCCGATGCCTTTAAAAGCCAATAAAGTCATAATGGAAGCCGGATACCCAAGTTGGCCTGCACTACAGCACGTCTCGCTCGGCGTGCTGCGTCTGAGAGGGGCGGGCATACCTTGCTGGAAAGAAGTGCAACCGTTTGGTGTGTGTGTGTGTGTGTGTGCATGTGCGTGCGTGTGTGTGAGTCCCAGACATGACATGGCGTGAGGAGAAAGAAATTCTGACCACCATGTAGATGAAATTATACGTATAAAGTGTTCATTTGTGCCCACGAAATAAAGCGTTACCTTGACTTATGCAAATGAATTTACTCATTTCCCCCACGTTTTGAAGAAAGAAAAATAGCGCCGCCCTGGAAAAAAAAAACACAGTAAAAGAATGAAAGAAACTGGAGTCACCAAGCGGAATTACTGTACGCACTGTAGTAATCGTGAGGTGGAGGTGCGCCTTAAATGGTGCGCGTATGCCATCCAAGGATTTCGCGATGAAGGCGGTTGCTACAGGCAACCTTTGCCTTTTGCAGAGAATCCCATCGTTTGGGGGTGGGTGGAAAACACACTCACAGGAAACATCCTGGCACACACATCGCAGCGCTTTAATTCCTTGCAAAAGATGTTGCATTAAAACAACCTAAAAATCAGCTTGACACCCCCCCCTCTTGCCCCACGTAGTGCACCCCCCTCCCCATACTCGCCCTACTTTCCTTTCATCTGCCTTATCTCGACTCAGCGTGGCTTTAAAAACACACGCTTAAATAATCCCGAATGACCAGACCCCTCTAGGCAGGACCAGAAGTCACCCCCCTAGGGCCCCCCTTTTTTTTAAATACACATTTAAAACACACACTCACACACACACACGTCTAAATCCAGGCCATACGGCGGCGGAGAGTCTCTTCTGTCTATTTTCAGAGTTGGATGCAGACTCTTTCAACGTGTGCAGCCCACCCCCACCCCTCCACAGACACACATAAACGCGTGCCCACCCCCCCCTACCTTACACACACTTAAAGCCCGATGTCATCACGCTGTGTCTCAGCATGTTCAATTTATGAGCCGATATTGTGGTGTCAATTCACAGTGTGCCAGAGAGCAATGCCGTCACTGCGTCTAATTACAGCGTGCGCATTACAGTGGCTATAATGACAGGTTTTGATTGTGGCGTGAGTGTGTGTTGGCAAGGGCTATTTGTGTGTGTGTGTGTGTGTGTGTTTCCCCCCCAAAGTGATCCGAATTGAATGGAACCAACCAGGGCTGCATTTTACCAAGCTATAAACAGCCCCACGCCACATAGCTAACCAACCCGCAACGAGACGTCACACGGCTCTCCCACACCGCACCAATAAAACCCAAAGAAAGGCGGGGGCGAAAGGGGGCTAGGGTGGTAGCTGGGGGGGTAAATCCTGTGCGCTGCCCTCGATTTCGCTCCTGCCACCACTGCTCGCAAAAAAATAAAAAATAAAAATAAAACGATAACAACCTGTCCAGGCTGCTTTCTGGCAGCGTGTGAAGCCCTGCCATCGAAAGACGTGGAGCCAGTTTTTCCCCAGGGTCATCTTATCAAAAAAAAAAAAAAAGAGAGAGAGAGAGAGAGAGATCCCCACACTGGACACTTTATTAGGTACATTCAAAATTCATGGACGTACGACGTCTGCATAATTATGCATGATTGGGTGGTTAGGAGTCATGTATTATTCACAAAGTGCAGAAAATGTTACGAAGAAAGCCGAACTTGGATGTGGGCCAAAAGTAGAAGGGCTTATGCGTTGGCAGAGGTGGCAATGTTTTTTCATTTCAGTGAACCGAGTGTTTTTAAACTGTGCCTCATTTAAAAAAAAAAAAAAAAAAAAAGGAAAAAAAAAAGGGGGGGCTGGGGGCCACCGATAACAAACTCTCGCAGTTCAAACTTGGCAGAGGTGATCGTGTTTTATACTCACTACAGATGGTTCTGGTGGGAGCCAAACAATCTCGTGATAAATTTGCCAAACAATGGATCGCTTGCCCCTTCCCTTGACAAGTTTGTTGAACAAATAACTCATCGATAAGTACACTAGTTGAACGCCCCCCCCCCCGGAATGTTGACGTATTCACCCCAAAAAAAAATGGATCGCCTCTCCTTGTTGACAAATACGGTGAGCAATTTATCTCCTGCTGGCTGACAAGTTCAAACAACCAACCGCCGCCCCGCCACCCTCGGCCAAAAATGTGGCCCCAAGTTTAGCAAACAACTTCTCTCACCCCACCCTCCTCGACGAGTTTGCTGAGCAACCAAACGTATGTCGACAACCGATCTGGCACATTGATGAGATGACCAAACCAGCCATTGCAGCCCCTTTAATGTCGAAAAATCCATCAAATAACTCATTTCGGACAAGTTTTCCAGAGTAACCGATCGCATTCCAAGTCGACAAACTTTGTCAGTCCCCTATCACTAATTTCACCGATTTCTCTCCTTTCAATAGTTTGCCGAACAACCGATCGCAGTTGCAGCCTCAAATTTTGATCAGGCATTGGATGAACTTGATCATGTTCTGCTTGCCCAAGAAAAAAAAAAAAAAAAAAAGTGGTACAATCCAATCGACTGGAATAAGCAAACACACAAATAGCTTTTGTTGAAGCTTGGGGGGTGTGAGGGGTGGGGGTTGGTCTACACCGGCCTTGGTTGCGCAGTGAAGCCCAGGTGCGTTCTCTGAGGCGACGGCAATGCGATCTGGAGCGACACGACCTCAACGTTGCCGCGTGCCGACTTGTTTTACACACAGGTGAGCCGCCTTTTTTTTTTTTTTTTTTTACATCTCAGCGGCGTCATTTTGTGAAAAGGCAGGCATCCGACTCACTGCTCAATTGATTCAAGTTGTGAGTGCTGGAAAAAAAAAAAAAACACCAAGGCCGCCTAGCAGTTACCGTGTTTGTTTCAGCTACACAACAACAGAAGGTCGCGTTTTGACGCCATTCGATCATCTCATCAAAAGACCTTTGTTTTTTTGTTGAAATCGAGACGGCTTCTCTTCGTCTTCATCATACACATTCCTCGGTAACCCGAGAGGGTGACACCCGCACGAGGCCCGGCCAACGCACACAAAGCACAAACTTGCAATACAGAACTCATTCATTGCCGTCTTTAATGTGGGAGATGTTACCCGATCATTCTTCCGCATCGTCTCTCAAATTGCGGGGGCTACATTTGAATAGCAACACCATCTGTGACGCTCTTTCCTCATCGCTAAATGGGAGGACAGACGTTGAGGGGGGTCTAGGGTGGGGATAAAAGCAATTAAGGAAAGCCAGGTCATATCCAACGGGTTGCCTTTTTACATCCAGATGTCAGCCGGTCACTAACTGCGCAAAAAAAAAAAAAAAAAGGGGGGTGGGAACGTTGGGCGGCAGCAAAGCGGCACTCCCCGGCCACATTTACATCAAAATATATGAATGACATCTGTGGTGACAAGCAAGGTGAAAGGGTCCATTGTCATTCAAAGCTTGTTGCAAGAGTGGAGGCAAACACTTAGCGTAACGAACAGCTCCCATTTTCAGATGAGCAACAAGGATAAATGACACAACAAAATATGCACGAGAGTACCAGGTTCGGTGGCACGCCGTCAGATTCTGCCGACGTGCTCCGCCCACGCGCAATGACGAAATCTCAAATCCTCAGCAATTAAGCGTTAGCCATCTGTCGAGTTTAGGTGGTTTGAATTTGGTAGCGAATGGTAAGAATCTGCCCAAGTTTTTGCAGGACGGACACCTCGAAAAATTGAAAATTTTCTAAACTAACCCCATTGGTGGCTTCAAATGAAAATGGCAGACTCCCTGTGTGTTTTGAAGCTTTTTTGGGGGTGGGCCGCGGTTTTGTCATGATAAACACGGCTACCAAATTTCATGTCGCTAACATAC